GAAGAGGGACATACACAAAAGTTACAAAACCCACCTGCATTCCCTTCTAAACTTCCTATATTATGAAAAAGAGAGGGTCAAGTTGTGAAGCTTTAAAAAATAAAGGCATAAGTGAAAGCAGCATCAGCAGCCACTGACTAAGTGTTTTAAAAATTTTTTTTAAGACAGAGCCCTATGCTATCCAGGATTCATGGGCAGAGCGATTTCTCAATGAGTAAGGATGGGAAGGGAAAGTAAATTTATTTTTTTACATAATTGCCTAATCATCAAAAATTCTATACCTTTATATAGGAGTCTCTACTAGAAAGTATAGTTCAGAAAAGAAGAGCTTGGACTAGGGTAAAAGACCGCTCAGTTTGTGCACTTTGTATTATCTTCAGGGTTTATGATACTGTAAAAATACAATAGCTAGAACTCTAATGAAAGTGGGCCAGAATATCAGTGTTACTGGCTGTACTCAACTATTAGTTAGCAGAGAAGGACTTGACTTGATTCCTGGGGTCCTCTCACAAGCTGTAAAACAAGACCCCAGCAGCTTCAAGGATATGTTCCTTCAGGATGCAAGAAACAAACCACAAGGAGTTACCCTTAAGGTGGAGGTCAAGAAAGAGGAAGGGTACATGGGAGCCATTAGATCCAGTAACACAGATACCAGCCCCTCAGGTGCTAGGGCCTCAGGCAAGTCAACTTTCCTTTCCTGAACTCGTGTAACTGAGACTATTCACAAAGGGACATGCTTCTGGTGGTGACTGCTTCAATCAAGAGTCAAGCCATCGCATATCTCCTTGTGCAATAAAAAGGGAAAGAGGAGAGGGAAAGCTGGTGTTTTCAGTGTGGTGCTTACTTTTATAAAAATGCCTTGTTTTTGAGGCTTCATAAAAATGAGATAATAGGCTTTTCCATAAGTGGCCTTTCTGAGAACATGAAAGATGCTTCATGTTTCAAAAACAATGACAGGGTGAAAAAGTATAAATGTGTCACGTTTTAAGTGACTTGGGTAGGAGGTTTTGGCTTTGTTAAGCAAAAATATTGGAGAAAAAGGCAATTGGGTGATGTCTTACCTTACGAGGGCATTTTGTGAATGTCCCTTTCCTGTACCCTCTCCATCCAGACAAGAAAATAAAAAAAAGCTGATGGGATCTTTGGCATAGAAGGGCATTGTGTGGTTTTATTTTTATTTTTCCTTGTCGTTTTAACAGACTAGGGAACAATTACTGATATACATAGCATTAAAGTACTTATCACAGTATAATGGAAGAATGCATATGAAGCAGGATTGACCAATATTGTAGCAGCCTTTGTGGTCACACTGAAAAGTTCTAAAACTTTATCAAATAGAGACTTTCCATGTAAACTCTTCTGTTAGTTCATTAGAGGCATTACTATTCTTCTACAAATATTGGTCAATTCTCAGCATTACAAAACATAAGGTTCACAGTTGTAGCCCAGTATTTGATAGAGAATCCTAATCTGAATTAGGGAAAAAATAAGTAAAATCCAAACATTAGAGAAACAAAGTGCAATATTAAATGTTTGCTTTATAGATTATATTCTATGGCTGTTTGTACTTCTCTTTCCTTTTTTTTTTTGTTTTTAGTTTTGGTGCTGAATATGTCCTTGTAGACTGTTTCAAGAAAACAATATGTGGAAAACAATTTATTTTTTCCTATTGCTCTTCCTTGTGGAAAATAAACTTTTTTTTTAAAAAAAAAAAAGAAAGCCTTTACACTGAAAGCGTTTAAGCCATAAAATTTATACAACACAGATTTTTACTTACTGCATGACCATGCATTAAATCTAGGTCGTGAGGATCACATTACTGTAGGAATATATACACTAAGCATGTACCAAACAGCAGTAGCAGAACTATTTCTGGAACGACACCCCGGATGGAAGTGCAGCAGCTAAGTTTCATCATCATCCTCGGTTCCTTTTTTTGTATTTATATCAAAGGCTGTTGAGGACACTGTTTCTATCATCACTGCAGCTGTAGTGACCTGCTCAAGTTGTTGAGTACTTCCCACAAGAAGTGGTTCAGGGAGGAGAGGGGCTTCATTTGAGTAGGGGTGGAAGGAAATGGGGCAGGGGGCATTTTAAAGGCCAGACAGCCCAAGGGTTGGCAGTAAGGCCGCAAAGGCTGGTTTGGTGACATGAACCCTGACTGTCCCCGCGGCTGCCCAGCGGTACCAGATGCATGGAAAGGCCGTGCGCTCTGCACGGAGGTATTAATAGAGCTCCAGTGCATGCCAGCGCCGCAGCATCCTGCTTCCGCATGCCGTGCACAGCTGAGCCTCCGACAAAAAGGATTAGCGTTGTCCTCTGGTGTCCCAAGTGTCAGGGAAGTTTCAGCAGCCTGCAAGCCAGGCACTCGGCGGCCCCACATTGGCCATGCCTGCATCTGTGGGAAAGGTGCTGGAGACACCAACACCTGGTCCTACCTTCTATGGTGTATGCTGCTAATGCGGAGGATCCAAATGTCTGAGCTAACTCCTTGTACAACCAGAACGGGAGGGCTTCCAGAGTGTGCGGATTCCTGGGTGAGCTGCAGCATTTCCATTTAATTTTGAACTAGAAACTGCCAATTATGGAGGATCCAGAAAGACTGTTTTAAGTTTTTGGTTTTCTTAATACAAACAGTTCATCACTTGTATCTGAGTTCTGATTCAAAGCAATAAGAAATCCAAAAACAGAAAAAAGAAGAAAAAGGTTCTCATATGCACAATATACTGCAAACTCCTTTATAACTGAGTAGCAATGATGAGAATAATTACTTTTTTTTTTCCCTAACACCAGCACCAATCTTTTTAGTACTGAAGTTCCTGATGCTATGTGGCAATATTTGTTAGAATTTAACTTGTCTGCAATAGCATTTCAAGGACACACACTCCTAGTGGTTTTGTGCAACATGTTCTTGAGATACCATTTTTAGACCAGAACTACTACTTAGGATTCCTTCAAGCTTCGGTTTAAATTGTCACGCTTACCATAATATTAGAAATTATCAAGGTTTTACTCTGAGATCTATTTTCTTTGAAAATGCAAATATTTCATATTTCTGAGTATTAAAACACCTATGCACATACACAAATCTGCGTTACATAGTGGTTTAAAATAACAGCTCTTCCACCTTGACAATCCAGAAAGATGACAAATCTCAGTGCTTCAGCACCTAGGCTTCTGAGACACCCCAGCCAAAGTTGCAAAATCCAACATTTTTTTGACAATTATCTAGCCAAAACCCAGAGGAGCTTTCTTAGGCCCTTTTTAAGCACAAGCCACTCATGTTTTACAGACACCAACCAGTAACTCACTGTGAGAGCCCCCCTTGTTTTCCATGGAGCAGCAGCAGCTGAGGTACCACACAGTCAAACGCTCCCTGGGGCGAGCGCTGCACGCCAGGCGCCTGGCCAGCAGGGAACCTTCAAGAGGGAACCTTGTGTCACTAACAGGAAGGCTGCCCTTGCGAACGTGGTGCCACCAACCAGGGCACGCAGCTCCCTGCAGCTCTGCAAACAGCCTGGGCCTGGCCTGATTTCCACTAGGCCACTGCTCTGGGACAGCACCTGCTCCCAGGAACGCTGACTTGGTCTGAGGCTCTGGCCTGACACACAGCGTCCACTTGCAGCCCTTGCACATACAGGGGATTTGAGCAGAAACCTCCTCAGGAATTCACAGCAATGCGAGCGCTACCAAGCGTCTGCACCTATGTCACCACTAAGGAAGATTCTCACCTTTCCCATTTTTTCTCATGAAAGATGCTCCAGAGGCAAGTTACGGGGGATGCTTCACTCCCTTCCAGATGGTACCCTTGAAATAAGGAACAAAGTCACCTATCTCTTCTCCAAGCAATCATTCACTCCCAAATCTCTCCCTGCCAGCTATAGGCGGCTATTTTTAGAGCTGGATCTCCAGATCTCCTAGCCCATAGACAGAGCAGTCACGCCGAGGGGAGGCTGGACACCACAGCAAAACACTTTGAACAAGCGTCTTTTACCTCATCTAACCTAAACCCAGTGTTCGG